AGTTAATAAACAAATTTTCAAAGGCACAAAAAGGAAAGGCATGTACATATGGTATAAAATTAACATCATTTTACCTTTAAAAACCTGTTCCTGCACAGCTGATTAATGACATTCAAATTAAATGTTTCCTATTTTAGCAAAGTATAAATTTATCATCATGGCTACAGAATTTAAAGGCTTTCATGTTGTTCTACTTGCATCAGTATTCCTTAATAGTTCCAGAATATAGCAGTTATGATGCAATTACAAGGGTAAGACTGTGAAAACCTGAAAGAAATATGGAACTCATAATGATAAATTCATAAAAACATGAATGACTTTCAATTTAAGTCTAATTTATATCTTACTGACAATATACAATCCTTAGATAAAAGCACCATCTATGCTGCTTTCTGTCTGTTGGTGTATTTTCTTACTTTACCTCACCTGGTGCTTCTTCTGAAGTATTTATATTACAATTAACACATAAATATGTCTATCCACAGTGACTGTTTTGGTCAGCAAGTTTATTTTATTTATTAAATTTGTATTCTGCCTTTTCACTAGAAATATTGCTCAGGGTAGCTTGCCTTTACAAGCTTATGAATTCCAAATAAATGTTCAAAAGCTTTCAGAAGATTTGACCATGTTTTATACATCAGTGGCTTATTTAAACAGACCTAGCTGTATAGGTTACAGTAAGACTTACAGCAAACAAATCCCTGAAAGTATTACAACTTGAATACAAGCCTCTTTCCTGTTTTTTTCCATAATCTGCTGAAGAATTAAATATAAATCTACTACTACAGGCAGTGTTAAAGCTTTCCCTGTTGTATATTACATTTAAATATCAACTTCCATTGTATTAGTTTTCATCAAATGAGAACCAGAAATACCTTTCAGTCTTGCAAGGAATCTAAAGGAAGATCTATGTGTTACACAGTTCACATATTAAAACCTCAAAAATACTTCCTTTAAGGAAATGCATCTCCAAGGGAAACCATTTCAGGTACAGAAGCAGGAAAGCTTCTTTTCCCAGCAACTATTTCACCCTTGCTGATTCTCCCCATATCCACCCATCCCAAGTTCTGTATGTTTATCTGCATGAGGAAACACAGGTCTGGAAATCTGCAGGAGGGTTAGGAGAGAAAAAGTCAAACAACTTATATAGTCATATGCATATTCCCTCTCGGTTACAAGTATATCCCTTTGGCCAAGCTGTTTCTCCCTGGGAATGGTTAGGGCTATCTTAAAGATTAGAGTAACACAACCCCAGTGGTTAGCCAAACAGGGTTAAATTAAACAAAGTTGCATGTAAATGCTCTTTTGGCCATAAAATGCAGAACAATACTAAGAGATACAAAACAGAGAGTGGGCATTTAAGAAATGAAACAGTACGAATAAATAACCTGTACCTTGAAGGTGACAGGGGACATCATACTCAATTTCATCATGTCTTGATGGGCTAAGAAACAGGGTTCCATCCACCAATGGAAACTGTTCAAATACTGGCAGTGCTCTGTGGCATAATGCACAGTTGACAACATTTCGGTGACTGGCACTGAGCGCTGCAAGAATGAATTTCCGCAGGTCTTCTCCTTGACCTACTTGGGCATCATCTTCCATCCGAACATGGAAAGTGTTCAATTTATGCCGGGGGATGTGCGCAAGGAGATCAGATATATCCCCCCTCCTCAAAAATTGTACAGGAGCATCAAAATGTCCTGACCTATGTGCTTGTAACCCAGATGTCCCATAATCAAAGTGAGTATTCCTGAACATGCCACTATTAGCTATGTTCTTCCTGTGAGGTTCTAGATGAATGGCATTCTTCAAAAATTCTCCTAAGTATCGTGATGAGCGGGGCCCACTGAAGTGTGTGGGGGCAAGAACAGAGTAGCCTGCCGGAGGTGACTGTCCAGGGGACCCACAGGGTGAACGGACTACATAGCTACTGCTAGTTGTGCCTTTCTCTTGAGAGTTCTGCCTGTCCATGGAATGCCGTCGCTGGATATCATGGTTTAAACCTTTCTGTGGTTTGTTAGCTGGCCTGCACTTCTTAACCTCTTCAGAGGACTCTGATGTTGATCTTCCACTGCTCTTTTCAGACACTGACTTCTTCTTTTTTTCATCTTGCATTCGTTTTACTTGATACCAATCCGTGTCTTTCTTTAAGTGGCCTTGACCACATCGGCAAGAACAAAAACGGAAGGCGAGATCATATCCCTTCTTGGTCCACATGTTTTGCCGGCACTGCTTCTCATTCCAGCTTCTTGCTCTCCCAATGCAGTTAAACTGAGCCAAAATACTGCTCTCCCATTCATAAAAACATTGAAGGTGCATCCAAGTGCTGTAGGGACAATGTTCATTGTTGCATACAACTTTCTGGTAGTCGTCTTTTTCTAGGTCAACGGGCCGTCCAAAGCTACATATCAATGGTGTAGCGCAAGGTGCTTCTGTGAAACACAGAATAGAAGTTGTTTATATACAAGCCACTATTTGCATTGTTGTGTTATTCTTATTTTTTAAAAAAATGTTTTACAGGCAAAGTGCTGTGAGAGTGAAGTTTGTCCTGAGCAGAATGCAGGGGTTCTCATGCACATCTGATGCGCTGTGCATATACTAGTACTATTCTATGAAATGATGAATATGCAACAGAAAATCCACATGTGCATATATAGTATTTCCCATCACGGAAGAGTACAAGAAGCCCAAAGTGCATGCAGTTTTTATCAGAGCACCTAAGCTTCAAGTGCTAAGATTCAATTGCTGGTATACTGATCTCTTTAAACACACCAATTTATGTTTAATATAAGTTCCTTCCTTACAATATTGATGTAGCTCAAAACAGTAAATAGTAGATGTTAAAACACGGCTTTTATCTAACTAGTAAGGAAATAATCCTATAAATACTTCCTAGACATTAGAATGGCTGTATATTACAAAAAACCCAAAAATAGAACTGTATGATGTTATTTCAAAAGGAAATAATTTCTTTATGCTATAATTTTCCATTATAAAGCTTAAAATTAAGTGTAAATATAATTAAGCTCCAATTAATATTTTCTACCAACTGAACATGCCATGAAGATGTTATTAAATTAAGTCAAGTCATACAAATTAAATCCACCTTAACAGAACATTAATTTGCATCTACAGATGCAACTAAGCAAAGCAAATCCAATGTGTGAAGATCTTTCCCAGCTCTGTAATGTTAAAAAATGCTTTGCATTCCAATGTCAGAATTTCCCATGGCCTTTAATATACTTCAAGAACTTCAGTCAACTAACCATCATGACTCAGAAACACACATGCTAATTCACACATATTTCTAACATTAAACCCTTTGAAAGCACGCTGTTACACCTTCTGATGTGACCAAAGTAGCACTTTTAAGTAGACTAATGTCATAAAGAAATGATTTGGGTTAAATATCTAAAACTAAAATGTGACTTCACTCAAATTCAACCAATTGTTCCAATCCTAGGCTGTGAGAACACAAAAGCTGTAAGCACCTAGGTTGCTCCAGATAAAGAAGTGCTCAGGAGAAATATATCCCTTTTTATACAGTAAGCCTGTTCTCATGAGCCTGTTTCCACCACAGCTAATTAACCATCCTGAATGTACCAGCTGGATTTGCATCATTCCCTTTGCCGGCATGTTATCTTGTATCATGTGAACCTGGCAAGATGGGATCGCTGAGGTGGGTGAAAAGCCACCCAGAATCTATAGGCTGCTGTGGGATGGTTTGTTAACTAACCCAACAAGCCAGCAAGGGGAAATATGCAAAGGATGGCTTATCAACCACCCAGTAAGCCAGGCCATTTTTCAAAAGGAGCCATCAGTTGCAAAAGTAACCAGAGCTGCAGTCTGATTTGAAAAGCAACAGAAGATTAAACTTGCATATCGGAAAAGATAATAGTTCTGAAGTAAACAGCACACTAGGTTAGATTTCCTAGTCCAGATTCAGCACCAAAGTGCAAATATGTAAATTGTCAAAAACATGCACAAAATACATGCTATTGTCACATTCTACCTTGTGCAGCAAGGGACTGGAGGAGGAGCCTGCACAGGTATAAATGCTGCTATACATGGTGAGACCAGATTCAAACTAGGACATATTTTGCTTGCACGAATTAGCTGTGCTGAATGGCAACAACTTCAAATGTAGTTGTTTTGTGTATATTATTAACATCCAATACGACAATGTGTATATCTCTTCCATAGACAGAATGCCATGTGGAATAACAGAAGGCAATACCCATGTCCACAGTTTGGATTAATGATGTAAGTAAATATAGGAAGCAAATTACTGTCATAGTTTCTTTGCACATCTCATTAACACTCAGATCTGGGTGGGGAGAAAAATGAACTCTAATATGTATGTACAGATTCTTGTAGTTAAGAAAGCAAGTAAACAAAGACTGCCTTTACAATCTGTCAGCTAAGCAGAATGCGCACAAAATGGTGTAACAGAATCTAGTTAGCAGTCAAGCAATCATCTTGCAACATACATTCAGATATGAAATTAACCAATAGTGTTTTTTAGGGAAAATTGGTATATGTTGCAACTAATTTTATAATGCACACTCCAAAAAACATGAGGCTAGCTAATGACAAGAAAGTAGTGAATCATTGAGTAAATCACTCAGGAGTTTTACAATATATACCTAAACACCCACCTAACGCCATTTTTCCATATCTATTTGGAGAACTTCCAAACGCTGATATGAGTACTGCAGGGTTTTCTATCTTTGCTGATAAAGCATGTCACATTTTTACACGTACAGAACACATTCTATATAACCATGGCTTATGCACCTATGGTCAAACGATGACCAGTTACATCTCTCAGAAAGGTAGCAGTGGTTCATCTATTGCTGTGGGGGGGGGGGCTGAACTGTGTAAAAAGTGTGTGTGAAAGAGAGGGGGGAGAAAGAAAGACAGAGAGAGAATAAGAAGGCTATTTTTTAAATTTTCACTTGGAATGATCTTTTAAGGGCACAATAATATACATGTTTAGACAAAAAAAATTCTGCAACTCCTGTGGCTGGCTGAGGAATGCAAGGCATTAAGACTTTTTCCTCTAAATATGTTCAGGATTGCTCCCATTTTTTAAAATTTTGCCCTTTGTCTTTACTGCATCCCCCAGTAAATCAGTTTTAGTCTGAAATGATATCTTCCCAAATTACACTAGAGGACAACAGTACTTGTCATCTTCTTGCTCTTATCTCCAGTCATTGTTTTTAAGTAGCTTGCAATCATCTACAGGTAACTATAAGAACTCAGTCCCTATTTTTCTGCAACCTTCATCATTATCAAAAGACACATACACAACCCTTTATTTAATTTTTTCATGCATTCTCACTGAGAGCCAGTGTGGTGGCTAGAGTGGTGAGCTTGGGCCTCGATTCTAGTCCCCCACTTAGCCCAGAAGCTCACTGGGTACTTCGGGTCCGGCCAGAGCCCAGCCAACTTTACAGTGTTCCTTTGGGACAATAAAATGCAGCTACATAAGTCACTTGGGCTCCTCACAAAAGAAAAAAAAGTGGGATATAAATGCAATGTAACAATAGTAACTGTGTCAAAAGAACATCAAAAGTGTTCACTGAGAGTGACTTGAACATGAACAGAAGCACAGTCTCCGTCTAAACGGATCTAAATTGATCTGCTCTTACTGGTATCAACAAATAGCCCAAGCAGACTGCCTACAAAGCTGATTAGGTGTGATCACTTAAATTTAAAACTTAGAGGGAAATAAGATGATGAGTAGCTCCAAAGAGTGGTCCAATCACTCACTCACACACACACACACACACACACACACACACAGAGTAAGCTTAAAGGATTCAGGAACTTCAGCCCAAATTACTACTTTTGAGTTTGAAAAGTGAACTTTGGGAACAATGGGTTCAAATAATCACAACAAAAGTCACACCCTCATCAGCAATAATGTACACACTCTCTCTTATGAGAGCCATACTAATAGGATGGCTAAAAGTCTAACTCTAATTAGGGAATGTACACATTCTAATTTGTTGCAGTGGAATTTTTGTTGACTATGAAATGACTAGCAACTTTACTGACTATGAAAGATTAGCAACTTTTCAAAATGTTATATTAACCAAACCCGTTCAATTTGAGCGGCTCCACCAGATAATGCAACATAGTCAAAATGGGTTGGCACTCACACAGAAGCCTTTAAAACAAACTAGATGCTATAGGAAGGATAATGAATATCAATGTGTTTGATTTACAAATGTGAATCATAAACATTAACTAAAATACATCTTCTAAATGCGTTGTGTTAAACAAAGCCTCTACATGCTCCTATCCCATTTTCAGAAAGGGACAGAGCACTGCTCCTCTTTTGCTGCCCAGCTCCAGCACAGCCAACCTGGTGCTGCAGAAGGCTGTTCTGGACTATCAATTATTAAACCGTTCCAAAACATTTCTCATTTAGGAACTCTAGTACCAGATTTGTCCTTTCTTTTCCAGTAAAGGTCTCCTGGAGAAGACTGTGCCAGAGACATACCTACATGATACAGCTTTTCCTTCTCAAGACACCAGGTTCCCTGTGTCACTCATCAGCACCTCCCAACTAGAATTAAATCCTGCTACCATGGAAGTCCCAGATCTCAACTTCCATCTACTGTTTTGAAGCAACCACTGTCAACTACCAGCAATTTTTGCTCTCTCATAGCCACACTAACTCCACTATCCGTGCTGCTCTATCTCTGCATGGGAACACAGATCTTTAGCAACTTGCTACTTACTGCTCCTTACCACATTAGCACAACCATGCCTGTATCGGGACTATGCTCCAGTTCCACGTCTTTGCACACTGGCAAGGCAGGTACAGGCACCCAAATAAATAAATGCATACATAACAGAACAGTTAATATTTTTCCCACTATCTCATCCTTGGTTCTGGCTCTGGGTTTTCTGAACTCAGAAAGGTTTTTGGGATTCCCAGACACAGCATGGACTGTATAAAGGAAATCTTGGTGTATCATTGGTTTCCTTCATGGGATTAGTTAAAGTGCATATACTGAGAAGTGATCAAGGCTGTGGAGGCTTCCCATGAGACTTAACAATGGATGCATCCAATATGGTTGCACAGGTTCAATTCAGATATCAAACTAAGCAATGGGCCAACACAAATATTAGTTTTGATATATATCTAGTAGTGACATCTTTTCCCCCTTTGTATTCTAAAGCAGTGTTTCTCAAACTGTTGGCCAGGATCCACCTGCAAGCTCAGTCCACTTCCAGACAGGTGTCCATGTTTGAGGCTGCCCAGTATCTCTTTACTTGGCCACCCTGTGCCATGTCCGTACAATACACCTTTCTTAAGCAGATGCAGTGATGGCAGGTGGTGAAAGACCAAGTTGAGCATTTTTAATAACTATGTTTTAAAACTGGGAATAAAAGGTAATTATAGAAGAGAAGGATG